TCATTTTTTAACTTATTTGTCAGAAGTCAAAGGTTTAAATTATTTGTTCATTTGATATCATTTACAACTTAATCCTAATTAGTGTTAAATCTCAACAGGCATGCTAACAGCTTCTAATTTTTTAAATGATAAACCATATACTGGTCCATTTAATTTTATTGCTTTAATTAAAATCTTTTTGTTATTAATACCTCCCTCAAAATAAATTCTATAAACATATTAAGTTGAATCACATTAATAGAAAATAATGTGGAAAAACTGCTTTCTCTTTAAAAAGGACCTCCTTAACCATTTTAAATTCAATTCACATAATCAATCAGATTGCAATGAAATGCTACCTTTTCCTTCTAAAGACTTAGTGACCTGTGATTAAAGTTGCCACCTTGTTAATATTTCACTTCCTTGCAACAACACTGAATGCAGAGAGTCAAAACTGCATTTTCTGATTTTTAGAACTAAATCTTACCTTTGTTAAAACGAAAAAGATTTACAAAAGAACTATATGCTGACTTGAAGGGGGGCTCATCCTGGTCGGGAGTCAAAGGTTTAAAGTGAGTGAGATGAGAAGGACTCGTGGGGGAGCGAGGCAAATCATTAGCAGGGTCCAATGTCGGGGAACTCTTATCATCTGTGGCCATTTCATGAGTCTAGAAAGAAAGAGAGAAAAAAAGAAATAGGTTCTGTAGAAGCCATCTGAAGAACAGTAAATATCCTCACAACCCAACTATGTGACAATTCATATCAATAAACACCAAAGAATAAGGAAATCTGTTTTTATATACTCAAATTCAGGCTTTAAAATACTGCAGCCCAGATGAAAAATGCCTCAACACTTAAAACTATAGCTACACAGCAAGCTAATTTTAAATATTACCATTTTAATTAGTTTTACAATTAAAGTTAAGTAAAAATTTGCAGGTAAGGCATAAATGTGAGCAGACAAAATTTTTTCCCAATATTTATATCATACATGTGTATACAAGGTTTTTTGGAGGTAAAACCAATACTTCACAGCCTTTTAAAGTTACCAGGGGAAACTGACTTTTATAGTATAAACCACTGAGCTTTATTGTACTAATGTATCTCAAAAAAAAAAAAAAAAAAATCAGGGGGCTGGAGAGATGGCTCAGTGGTTAAGAAAAGAAAATCAGTCACTTTTTTATGACATGTCTATGCAATCAGAGCAATTAGCTTTTGGCAGAGCCTGTGACAAGTATTCAAATCAACAAACCGTCAGTTTTTCCTCTGCAGCATGAATTTGGGATTTCCACAACCCACCCCTCTTTAAGCCTAAACTCATCAGATATTAAGGTAATGACCTCCTTAAAGGTACTTTTGTCCCTAAATAACCAAAAAACATAATTGGTCAAAGCAATAAGTCTAATCACCAAATAAACATTACAGAAAGGCACTGAGGCTTTCCCTTTAGACTGATAATTTAAACAGAAATATCCTCTGGTGTGTTAGTCATATTGATGCTACAGTTTATAATCTACACTGTACAAAGATGGACATTACACATTTCTAAAAAGGTTTTCTCCTTCAAAATCACATCTATCCATTCATTTTATTTTCTCAATACTCCTGGAAGTCATATAAGTAAGCTTTATTCCTATGTTTAACAGCTGCGGCAACTAAAGTACACTGAACCTAAAACAATTTTCCTTGTGCTGATCACAGTGAGTTAGTAATAGACTTGTGACTACACTCCAAGTCTTGTCACAAAATTCTCAACAGTCTATACTGATCAAAATTTTTTTTGTAGCTCTTCAAAGACTTCCAATTCTAGATGTGTTCCCTTAATGCTCAAGATTTTCCAGGGTTAGTAATGTCACTGATTAGTAAATTAAAGCAGAAGTGAAAACACTGGCTTGGATGGGATTTGGCAACCAGTGCTTCTTGGAAGGGATGCCCCAGGGAGAGGAGTAGAGAAAGGCAATGGTGTAGAGAAAAAGAGGAAGGGAAAAGAGGAAAGATGGGGAAGGAGGACCTCTATATCATGTTCCACTGGGAAGATGATACAAAGTACTGTCTTAGTTAGAGTTACTATTGCTATGAAGAAACCATGATCCAAATTTTCAGCTTGGGAAGGAAAGGTTCCATATCACTGTCCATTGTCAAAGGTGGTCAGCATAGAAACCCCAGCAGGACAGGAACCTGGAGGCAGGGACTAATACAGAGGCCATGGGGGAGAACTATTTACTTGGTGTGCTCACCACGGCTTGCTCAGCCTGCTTTCTAATAGAACTCAGGACCACCAGTCCAGGGATGGCCACCAGCCCAGGGATGGCCACCAGCCCAGGAATGGCCACCAGCCCAGGAATGGCCACCAGCGATTAGCACCACCCACAACAGGCTGGACCCTTTCCCAGCATCACTCAAAATGCTACAGGCTTGCCTAAGGCCCATCTTAGAGAGGCATTTTCTCAACTGAGGCTCCCTCCTCTCTGAAGACTCTAGCTTGTGTCAAGTTGACTGACATCAAACCATCATAATTGATGCTCCAGCATAAAGGGTTAAGATGGCGGCTGATAAGGGTGTGATACTGGAATATAACTTCTCATTGTGATGAGGAACATATGTGAAAATACTGAGCTGTGAACATGAAATGGCATGGTCAAAACTGTCTTAAAAACACTTGCCATCAGCCAGGCGTTGGTGGCGCACGCCTTTAATCCCAACACTCCGGAGGCAGAGGCAGGCGGATCTCTGTGAGTTCAAGGCCAGCCTGGTCTCCAGAGCAAGTGCCAGGATAGGCTCCAAAGCTACACAGAGGAACCCTGTTTCGAAAAACCACAAAAAAGATGGCGACTGATCAAGTAAAAACTGCAAGGTTTTGTTGCTTATCTTAAAGACCACCAGAGAGGACATGATAGCAATAAAAACCCTCAAGTTTATAAACACAACCTACTCCAATTCCACAAAGGTACCAACAAAAGCACAGTGACCAATCTGCCTAAAGAGTCCTAGAATTACTTTTTTTTTTTTTTTTGGATAGGATTCCTCTGTTTAACAGCCTTGGCTGTCCTGGAACTAGCTCTTGTAGACAAGGCTGGCCTGGAACTCACAGAGATCTGCCTGCCTCTGCCTCTGCCTCCCTAGTGCTGGGATTAAAGGTGTGCGCCACTAATGACCAGCTAGAATTACTTCGAAAGGTCGTCTATGGCCAGAACTTTCATTAAGTTTTGGAAATATGAAGGTAAAAATTAGTATGAAAGCACACATCAAGTGCTGTCTCTAAAACATAGATACAATCACATAGAATTAATCTCAATAATTACATGCCACCAGCATCCAAGAAGAAATTACAACTCTGATTTTTAGCAGCATAATAACTATTTATGCTGTAACGAATGGCTCTTTCTGCATACATAATTAGAAATATTAACCTACTTATCCAACGACTTCTGTGGTGTCACCAACTGTTAGTCTTTTTTTTCCAAGGAGAGTATGTTATATGCAGACTTACTACACAGTATCTTGGTGAAGCAAACCAGAATATGAATCCACTATTAAAGTGTTTTATATAACTTAATTAATTCATCAGCCCACATAAAAACTTTAGGTGAAAATCTAAGTGTCAGCCTAGTCGTTTTCTAGGGCCAGTTTTTTTTTTCTTTAGTACAGTTCTCAAACGTTATTTACTAATGCAGGACAGCTGAATACAGGTAATGTTCACTTCCATTATGAAAGGGTTTTTGTTCATTTTTACCCATACACAACAGAAAGACTAAAGGAAAACCACTGTATGTGATTCCTGTAACTTCTCCAGAAGGAAAAAAAAAACAAAAACAAAAAAAAAAACCTGACCTTTGTCTTTGTCACAAGCCTGAACTTAATAGAAAAAAAAAGAAAAAAGAAAAAAAGAAACCTTCTCTCCATCCCTCCACTATCTCTCTTCCTCCCTCCCTCTGTCTTCCGGGGGAGGGAAGGGGGGAGAGGAAAAGAGGGAGTACTGGAGAAGCAGAAAGATCCGGATATATGGGAAACAGGACGGTATGATTTGCTAGGCACCTAACTCTACTGTGAATATCATACCAGCACAAAATATACCGAATGAATCAACCATTCTCATTTAACTCGTAACACACAAGATACACTGCAATAACCTGCTTTGTACAGAATGTTTGTACAGACACTCTGAATGTCTTAAGAATCTAAATAGGACAGAAGACCCCAAATTCCAAATGCATCCATCAAGTTTCATTTCCATCCTTTCTTGGGAAAGGGAGATCGACTGTTGGGAAATCGAGTCTCTTCCTCAAAAAAAAAAAAAAAAAAAAAAAAAAAAAAAAAAAAAAAAGAAAAAGCTGAAGTGAAAAAGTCAGAAACGAGCGTTTAAGCTGATGGAATGGTTTCTGTGGATTAGAACTTTCTTTTCCAGGCTTAGCGCTGCACCTGAGACTGGGCTCACCAGCTAGGAGGAAAAGAAGACGATCCACCTCGGAAATAAGTTCGGGCATCAGAGAAACAAGAGGGGCAAGAAAACTTCCAGTGTGTCAAGGAAGCCTTTGCAGGAGGAGGTGGCCCAGCCAGCTGCCGTCTGCCCCACCACACAGGGCCAGCAGGCATTCAGGAGCCAGCCGGTCCCTGTCAGGTCCTCCGCGCTCCCTGCCGAGCCTCGGGCCCTCGCCATCCCTCCCGCCGTGCTCGGCGACCCACGCCGGCCTTCCTCCCACTGCGGGCCCCGGCGGCCCCTTGCCACGCCGCCTCCCTTACCTTCGCCTCCCGCCCCGGCCCCGCCGGCCTCCCACCACCCGGGTCTCTGCTTCACCCCGCTCGGCCCAAATGCTCCACCAAGAGCAGCGCCGACTTCCTCGGGCGGCGAGCGGTTGCTCCAAGACGCCAAGAGGTTTACGCGGTAGCTGCAGCTTCTCCCTTCTGCCCACCTCTGCAAGGCTCCGCCCTATCCCCCTTCCAGCCAACCCGCGACCTGTCCTGAGGACTGGCTCCGCCCACTCCTCCCCGCCCTCCCGACCTTCCGATCAGGTGTTCAGGCAGAAGGAATCCAACCCAGAGAGTATCGTCCCCTCCCCCTCGGAGGACTTAAGGCTGCCTCAGCCTTCCCGATGGAAGCGGGGGACGACCGTGCACGTGAGCATCACGCGTGCGTCACAGGGTGGCGCGCACGACCGCAGATGTCAGCCAGCCGGCGTTACCGTATGTGTTCGACACTGTGAGCACTCACAATATGGGACCGCTCTCCTGGTTCTCTTGTTAAGACATCCTCTTGAGTGGCCCAGAGAGAAGAGGTGACGGCTTTCAGGATACTGTCAGGAACTCCGCTAAAAGCAGCTTCGGACAAATTGCTTATTCTCTAGGCCTCAGACCGCTGGTGGGCAAAGGCAGGGTTAATCAATGACAGCATTCACTCCATGTTTTTTTGTTGTTGTTGTTGTTGTTATTTTAATGATTAGGTAAAACAGTGCATGTAAAGCAGTCGGCACAGAGCCTGACCCAAGTCATGTTGACTCTAGTTTTCTTTGATTAGGGTTTTGTGTTGCAGATAAAGTTATCAAACCTTGACTTGCTCAGCTCAGTGTGTACATGCCCGGTTATGTTTGTCCTGCTAAAAGAGCTGTGCAATTAAAAGTAGAAAACAAGCTAAAACCTGCTCACTGAAAACGTAGGGCTGTGCGGGGAGCTTTGAAAGGGATCTCAAGGGTAGTGTTATTTGACTTCGATTCTGCGGATCCTGTTCCTCAAGAATTTGGTCGCATCCCACTCAGCTTTCCCGAGCTGGTCTTTTCAAGCCTGGAAAGTACCACCGTATAAAACTTGAAGCTAGGGGCCACTGCAGCTCCTGGTTGCCATCCTTAACTGGGCCCTTTGGGTCCTCAACGCCCACTCGCAGCCGCCTTTGGTGTTCATTACTGCGGTACCCCTCCCGGGCTGTCGTTTACCCAGGAGAATTTAATCTATACCATGGTCTACCATAGGTGCAACCCTTGACCTAAACAACGCCACCACACATCTATCTGCAACATCTGTTTGGACCTGTCTTCCTTCTTCATAGATCATGGCTTTCTCAGTTTAATCGGTCCAGCCTTGTAACCCTGGGGCCTTGCAATGTCTCTTCAACCAAACCCTTCCCAATAACTTCTTTCTGGACTCATAAACAAGCTCATGCATCTTCCTTAAAAAAAAAAAAAAATAGATGGAGAACACCATAGATAATCCAGCCAACAGGATAGCACAGTGTGTGTGTGTGTGTGTGTGTGTGTGTGTGTGTGTGTGTGTGTGTGTGTGTATTCTGTACAAGTGACCAGGAAGGCCAGAGGAATCAGATTCCTCTGAAGTTGGAGTTATAAGAGGTAGTGAGCCCCCAAATGTGGGTGCTAGGAATTAAACTTGGGTCCTCTGCAAAAGCAGTATGTGCTCGTGATATCCAGCGGTCTCTCCAGCTCCTCAACTAACATTTTCTGAGTCATTAATTGGACCAGCAATCCAAGTGCTGTGGAGATATGCTGCGAACATAATACAGTCAGTCAGTGTTCCCCAGAAGTTTACAATCCTGTATCTACATAAATATGCACTTTAATTTCTGTGCAAAACTTGTTTTCTCTTTTGGGAAAAAGACAGTTTTAGTTCTTACCTCATACTAGACATCAAAAATTAATTTCAGGTATATTTCGTCTGTAGAGACATCTTGTACATGTCTGTAACTACCTTCCCCTCAGAACTTCCATCCAAGAACTTATTCTTGCTGAGCTGGTATATAGTCACATATAATTACACTTTACTAAAAATTCTCAGCTTTTCCTTCTCTATATCAATTATTAATATCAACTTTTCTTTTTCTTCCAGTAGTGCCCTAATTCAGCGCTGTCACCATGGATTTAACGAAGTTGCCCCTGATTTGGCCAATGGGAGCCCCTCATAAAAACTCCTGGGTGTATTTGCCATGCTTCCATGACTTTTTGAGTATTCGATTTCCATTTTGTATTTTCCCTCTTACCTCTACTCCCCACCCGCTAAGCTCTACATTTCTTTCTTTTTCTTTTTTTCTTTTTTTGTTGTTTTTTTGTTGGTGGTGGTGGTGTTGTTGTTGGGGGGTATTTGTTTTTCAAGACAGGGTTTCTCTGTAGCTTTAGAGCCTCTCCTGGCACTCACTCTGTAGACCAGGCTGGTCTCGAACTCAGAGATCCACCTGCCTCTTCCTACTGAGTGCTGGGATTAAAGGCTTTTGTCTCAACCACCCAGCTCTTTTTCTTTCCAAGATTAACCTTTATAAACTCTACACATTCGAGCTTCCAGTGTCCTCCAGGTTTGGTATGTTGCCACAAATGACATTGCCTTCTTTTTTAGTTTGGATTTATTATGTGTTCAAAAATCACGTGGGGGAGTGCACACATGTGTGCCAGTACTCATGGATGTCACAGATCAGTCTCAGATGTTGTTCCTCAGTTGCCTTGTTTTTGAGACGTTTCCTATTGGCCTAGAGTTCACAGGTAGATGATGCTAGCTGGCAAGCGAGCCCAGGGACCAGCCTGCCTTCTCTTCCCAGCACTAGGACTATGTGCATGTACCATTACACCTGTCTTTTTATGTGTGTTCTGGGGTCAAACTCAGGGCCTGAACTATCACTCCAACCTCTTATTCTTTTTTTTTTTTTGAGGATGACTAGTATTAGTCTATGCAAATATGCCACATTTTTCTTTACCCATCCCTCCAGAGATGGGTACTGGGTTAGTTATGCATCCTGACTGCCATGTCATTCTACAATGAAAACAGGGGTGCATGTATGTGTCACTGCCACACACTGGTCTCATTTCTTTAGTATATATGCAGTAAAGCAGAATCACTGAGTCATATGGAAGTTCTGTTTTTTGAGGAACTTGAATATTGTTTTCCATAATAGCTGCCCAGTGTCAGTTCCCACCCACAATATGCATGAGTGCCCTTTTCTCCATCCCCTTGTCAAAACTTGTTATAACAATAGCCATTCAGATCGATGTAATGCTATGATATCTCTGTGTGGTTTACATTTACATTTTTCTGATATCTAGTGATGTTTATCTTTTTGTTTTTTTATGTCTCGGGAGTGTTTGCTTTGTCCTACCCATTTTTCCGGTTTATAACTTTGTTAGTGTTTTTCACTATCGAGTTCTTTGTACACACACAAATGATGGCACTTTATCAGATGTATGGTTTGTACATATTCTCTTCCACTCCATAGATTGTCTCTTCAGTGTTCTTTTTCTAGCTTTTTAGAGCATTTTATTGTTATATAATCCTATTTGTATGTTTTGCTTTTCTTACCTAAACTTTTGGGTTATACAAACTAAAAATAAAAATCACTACCCAGGCCAATGTCATGAGGCTTTTCACTTGTGTTTTCTTCTACTAATTTTCATCTTCAGGTCTTGCATTTAGATATTGTCTTAGTTTGGGGTTTTTATTGCTGAAAGGAGATATGGCCATGGAAAGTCTTTTTTTTTTCTAGATTTTATTTATTTATTATGTATACAACATTCTGCTTCCATGTATATCTGCACACCAGAAGAGGGCACCAGATCTCATAACCATGTGGTTGCTGGGATTTGAACTCAGGACCTCTGGAAGAGCAGTCAGTGCTCTTAACCTCTGAGCCATCTCTTCAGCCTGACCATGGAAAGTCTTAAAAGAAAACTTTAACTGGGGTGGCTTGATTACAGTTTCAGAGGTTCAATCCATCATCATCATCATCATGGCTGAATTCACGCAGATGTGGTGCTGGAGTAGTAACTGAGAGTCCTACATCTTACAGGCAACAGGAAGTCATCTGTAACACTGAGTGAAGTTTAAGCAGAAAACCTCAAAGCCCTCCTCCACTGTGACACACTTCCTCGAACAAAGCCACACCTCCTAATAGTGCCATTCCCTTTGGGGGTCACTTTCTTTCAAGCCACCACAGATATTTAATCCAGTTTGAATCGATTTTTAACACAGTGTGAGATATGAAACTAATTTCATTCTTGTACAAGTGGGTATTCAGTTTTTCTCAAAACATTCATTAAACAGACTATCTTTTCCCTGGGATTCCAAAGTAAGTTTATTGTAAGTGAATTTATTTCTGCTCTTTTTATTCTATTCCAGTGGTCTACATGACTGCTTTTAATGCTGAGAACATGCTGTTTAGATTATCATAGCTTCATACTACGCTTTGAAGTCAGTGATTTGTGATGTGTACAGTTTCACTTGGCAATTTGGGGTCTTTGGGGGTTTTGGCCTTTTGGGTTTTTGTTGTTTTGTTTAGATTGATTTGGTTCGGTTTTTTGGACAGCCTTGGCTGTCCTGGAACTCACACTGTATCCCGGACTGGCCTGGAACTCACAGATATCAGCCTGCCACTGGCTCCCAGAGTGCTAAGATTAAAGGAGTGTGCCACCACTGCCCAGCAAGATTTTGTTTAAAGCATTGGATCTGCTGGTTGTTTTGCATAATACGTATTTACAGCATTACCTCTTCCAATGCACACACACAGAATGCCCTTCTGGATGAAGTCAAACACTGTCTCTGTTTAGTTCTTCAGTTTTTTAAATCTGTTTTACAGTTTTCAGTATCACCTTTGTAAAGTTAAATTTATTTCAAGCATTTTAAATTCCCCCCCCCTTTTTTTTTAAGACGGGGTTTCTCTGTGTAGTCCTGGCTATTCTGAAACTTGTTTTGTAGACCAGGCTGGACTCCAACTCATGTAACTAAGTACTGAACTAAAGGTGTGTGCCACTACGCCCGGCTAGCATTTTAATTTTGTAGCTATTACAAATATTGCAATCCAGGCAAATCTGGCCATGCTCCTTGGGGGAGCCTGGCAAAGTGTGCCACCTCTGTGCATGGCAAGCGGGGCCCTCGCTCTATACTCAGGTACAGGAGAGGAGGTTCCTTTAAGAGGCAAACTCTGCCCACTTCCCCCTCCTCTCTTCTGCCATTTCTCTGAGGAGGCAGCTGTCTGTCTCTCTATCACTTTCTCTCTCTTCTCCCTTACCTTCCCCCAGTAAACTTTCCACAGAAGTTCTGTCTGTAGGTCTCTGTATCCCACCTGCCATTTGTCACTCACCTGCAGTGGGACCCACTGAAGGTACCATCTCGCCCCGAATTATTCCAAGTAAGATTGTTTTCTTGATCTCTTTTAAGGGGTTTGTCATTGGTGAATAAAAATACTATTGCCTTTTGTGTGTTGGTTGTTTGGCAATGAATGCTACTGAATTTCACTGCTTCTAACAGGTTTTGGTCCCATCTTTAAGATTTTCCATATCTAAGATAATATCACCTACAGACAGGACATTTTGACTTCTTCCTCCCTAATTTGGATACCTTTATGCTTGTGTCTTGCCTACCTGGTGTATTGAGGAGAGGCAAGAATGGGCATCCCTGCCTTATTGTACATAAAAGGCTTTTAATTTCCACAGTTAACTGTGATGATAGCAGCTGACCTTCAGGGTATAGTCCTTCTGGACATAACATGTTGAAGGCACATATTTATTTTCTGGTTTGGTGGACTCATTTCCAACATTGCCTGTCTGGCACCTATAATGAATCGATTGTCTAAGAAGCTCTGCTTCCCTTTGGCAGATAAGGCAAAGGCTACCAAGGGTTTTTTTGTTTGGTTGATTGATTTTGTTTTGTTTTATTGAAAGACTCACTTCTAGATAGAATGTAGTGAAATTATCACTCCTTCATGCTGTATGTGGAAATATAAATGTATATATGCTTCCAGAAAAATGATTTGGTGGACCTAACAAACACCTTTAAAATATTTATATTCTTTGATCCAATACTTCGAGTTCTACTAATCTAGCTTAAGGAATTGATACAAGCATTTTTTGTGGGGGGCGGTTTCCAGGTAGGTTTTCTCTGTGGCTTTGGAGGCTGTCCTGGAACTAGCTCTTGTAGACCAGGCTGGTCTCGAACTCACAGAGATCCACCTGCCTCTGCCTCCCAAGTGCTGGGATTAAAGGCGTGCAACACCACTGCCCTGAGATACAAGCATTTTTTTGTTGTTTTTTTTGGGGGGGTTTGTTTTGTTTTGTTTTTTAAGACAGGGTTTCTCTGTGTAGCTTTGGAGCCTGTCTTGACACTCGATCTGGAGACCAGGCTGGCCTCGAACTCACAGAGATCTGCTGCCTCTGCCTCCGGAGTGCTGGGATTAAAGGTGTGTGCCACCAAAGGCCGGCTCAAGATAGAAGCATTTTTAACAAGCAATATAAATATGTGTTTTACACTGTTATTGATACAATAAGGAAATAAAACAGAAACAACCAACACAAATGACTCCAAAGTAATAGAAGCAGTTCTACTCTGCTCAGGACAAATGGCCTGTAAGTATGCCAATTGATGGAAAGTTTGTAATCATCAAAATTGTGTTTTCTAGCCAGGTATCATGCCTGTAACCTCAACACTTGGAGGATGTGGAGGCAAGAAGATCAGGAGTTGTAGGCTAGTCTCAGCTACCTAGAAAATTCAATGCTAGACTAGACTCCATGAGAAAATCTTTATTAAAAAGTGTTTTCACAATCATCTTTCTTTTCTCCCTTTCAAAATCTCTCATTCACAATTCAGTCTTTTGCAGCATGGCTCCTATCATAATCAATTTAGAATCATCCTACTAAAACTGCATCCACGAGGTCTTCCTACTTGTCAAGTTATTTCCAGGCTCTGTCTTTTTCTTATCTTTCTTAGTCAAGTTCTAGGATTGTTAAATGTGAAAGTCTGTGGGACAGGAAAATGGGGGTATCCAGGAGGCAGCGAGCTACATGTATCTGGAGCTCAGAAGAGGCAGCTGAGCAGGGGATGTGAACCTGGGTTTCTTTAGTGTCAGTTGCTAGCACTGAAGACAGTATATAAGCTCATTGAGAAGTACAGTCACCAGACCAGCCTAGTAGGCTAGAACTTGACTCATTATCATGGCCATCTGTGAGTTCAGAGGCCACCCTGGTCTCCAGAGTGAGTTCCAGGACAGACTCCAAAGCAATACAGAGAAACTCTATCTTGAAAAACAAAAAACAAAACAAAACAAAATTACCTTCGTTCTGTATGATATCCTGTGCATTCTTTTTACCTTTTCCGTCACATATAATCAATACTCTTATTGTGTTATATTCTATGTTTCCTGAATTTATTCTAGAATGCTTTCTAGAACATGAATGGATATGAATACTTTTATTAATAAACTATATGATCCTGGTGCGGTAGGAAGTAACATTTACAATCTCCTGTGATTTATGGTATGATACGATTAGAGGTGAAAAGATAAACTCACATACTTCTCTAATCATTTCATAAGAATAAATTGAAGTGGGTGCTTGTATCCCGTTAATCCACTTGACGTATATATCCTTTTCCACCTTGGAAATACTAGCTCCCTCTAGTGTCCAAAATGCATCTTGTTAGCCTATACAGTACAATGTTGTATGTTTTAAAAGTGAATTTTGGAACGTTGAACCTTGAGCAGCCAAGGATCTATTGTCCTACAAGTCATAATATTCTTATTTTCAAAACTAAGGAACACATGCAGAAAAGAAATCTCTGAAGAGAGAAGAATGTTTTTAAGCCACTCTTGAGAATTCTAAGATCCCGGACCCTGGATCTCTATCTAGTGCGGCTTCATCGGAACCTAGAAAATAAACTTCATTGTCTTCCATGGCAAATGGTGAGTGGGGCTTATTTATAAATGGTAACAGCTGGGAATACAGATCGTTGGCGGTGGAGGGAATTATTGAGGTGATATGGCGGCCGGTTCAGCCTTTGCATTCTAGCAGCGTCTATAGTCGCCCCCACGTTTGAGGCCCCCAAACGCATACTCTTCAGAAGCACATTCCATCTTAAGAGGCATCCAGAAAGGCCAAGAAGGGAACCTGCCAAAATCCAGTCTCAGGAGCTCTCCCTGGGTGAGAACCAAGACACTGAGCGTTCTGGAGCCTGTCGGTAGGTGGCATTCTTGCTCCTCAGCGGCAGGGTGTCCCCGAGGAATCCCGGCGGCGTGGCAGCCCCCATCCCCCACCTGGAACACCCGGGAGGACCTAGCTCTCCTCTCTCTCTCTCTCTCTCTCTCTCTCTCTCTCTCTCTCTC